TTAATGACATAATTGGATGGGTTATTAGGTGTAATTTGGTGTAATTACCCAAAATAACTATTAGTTCAGAGTGTTATGAGCAGAGATGCCCTCGAGCAGAGATGTTCCTTGGGGAGCATGATTTTGGTCTGAGGCTGCATCCCAATTGGCACTCAATTCTCTTTACAGTGCACTTCTTTTGAGCAGGGTTTGGGAAATAGGGTGCCATTTGCGATGCAGATTTTGGTCTGAGTGTAGAGATGAATCATGTTCAGGGGGTAATCATAATAGTCGTAATAATACACAGACTACACTCTTCTGCAATGGTGCTCTTCTAACCTCTACCTTGATACTGGATACTCTCAAATCATCAATATTCACCTCAAAGAGGCACACTTTCTGTGAGGAAAAACCAAAGTACAAGACCATTGCACCATAGTGAGACAGAAATGTCAGCAGAGGAGAGGTGAGTAGAAAAGGGCTAGAAAGTCTAGAATGTAGATGTTAGGGAAAAAGCTCTCTCTGACACCAGGTTCTCACAGATTCCAAAGACAACACCGACAGCAAGCAGGGGTTTTTGCAAATGAAACCATTTTTATTATAATTAAATGAATAAACACAGTACAGTTCGTAGAGGGGATTACATGAGACTCTGGCAGAGGGGAGATGACAAAATGGGGCTTACAGGCTGATACAGGCAATCTGGCAACCTAAGTCCTTATTTTCCACACAGAATATCACTACAAATGTGCTCAAATTTTAATCGTTTCAAATTCCACAGCAAACGGTAGCCTATACATCCCTCCCAGGTATAGGGGTTTACAGCACAACTCTGAAATACTTTCCACTCAATTATTATGCATGCATAGCAGAGCTTCAATAATCATGCCACCAGTAAGCTCTTCAAACAGCGTGTAATACACAATCAAGCTAAACACACGTGCTCTATGGAGCAGCCAAATCAATGAAATCAGTGAGAAACCAGACTTAGTAGGACGGTTCGGAAGTGACCATCGCTCAACAGTAGAGGTATAGGGAGCGTTGTGTGATAAACACCTAGAACCTAAAAATAGGGAGAGTGGGAGAGGCCTAAAACCCCCCAAAAATAGGGAGAGAGGTGCAATGAGAAACACCTAGAACCTAAAAATAGGAAAAAGGGAAAAAAGTCCTAGAATAGGGAGGAAGTGAGAAATATCTAGAAGCAAAAAAAATAGGGAGGCACAGTGCTTTATTTAATTTGCAGGAGGGAGAGGAGAAGAACAGGAAGCGAGTGGGAGAGACAAAGGTGAGAATTTACCATGAGAAGACAAATTACTGCAGCTGGGCAGCGACATACTGTAGTAGGCTACTGGAGTGGTGCTCACAACACAACGCCCAGGGAGACAACTTGCACAACTTGTCCTCTCTCCTCTACATAGGAACTGAACATGTGAAAATGCCATGTAGAGGGGCGATATTGACAATTTCCTCCTTAGACGAGAATCCTTTTCGATACATTTCCTCAACACTCTGTCTCCAAGAGGTCTAAACGAGAAACTAAATATAAAACCTTTTCTATAAAATGTGTTCTGCTCACAGGGGAACTTTTCAATTTTCCCTATATAATATTGTATACAAAATGATTGACGCATTTGTCTCACACATTTTTAATCTATTAAACACCTATATTAACTGAAATGGATAAACAAACCAAAATGTATTCATGTTTTCCCATATATGTCTACATGTAATATTTATTGTGATGTTCATGTATTATATGTATTCAGTTGACCGGATGTACATGCCTCTAGAGGTTATTTAAGTACAGTAGGTGTGTTTCACAGTGGTGTGTGACAGAGGTGGGACCAAGTCACTATTATTTGAGTCACAAGAAAGTCTCAAGTCACAAGGTCCAAGTCGAGTCCCAAGTAGAACGTGTCAAGTCTCGAGTCAAGTCCAAGTCGTGCATTCTAAGAGCAAGTCAAGTCAAATCGAGTAAAGTTTTTTCAAGTCAAGTCTCAAGAAAAAAAATAACTACAGGCAATGACTTGTTCAACTACAAATCTTTGTCTATGTATTGAGGCTATCAGACAGCCCTTTTCATTACTTTGTCTACAACACATTTTTATTGTGTAATAATACATTTTAACAACAAATTCCAAATTCAAGTTTCATAAATACATGATCAATTACAAGCAATTTTGACATACGAAAAGACCAGTAGGCCTATGCTAGTAATTGATGCTCCATTGCTGTTGAGCTTGCAAAGTAAACGTTTCATATTCTTGATCACCAAACAATTTTTGGAGCTACATATTAATTTATGGCAGTCTTCTATCCTTACAATTGGACGTTTACGCTGCACCCGATCCTATAGCTGTACAGCAAATCAGCAATCTGTTCACTAGCACAGTGGTTAAAAGAAAACTTGACCAGCGACCGCCAAAAAGGAGTGTTCAAAGCTTGCGACTCCTGCGCACGAACATGCACGCGCGCACAGGTTGAACAGGCGCGCACAATCGCTGAGCAAATGTTGCCTGTCAAATGTACAGCCGGTGATGCATTTTCAAAACACAAGATACAGAAATAAAATGCGTTTTACACCTGCATTTTGAATTGGAAGTCATGTTAGCAGTCAATGTTAACTAGGAATATCATGTCACATTGTCACTTCTCTGGAGTCCAGAGCAATCAGGATCATATGGGCTACCCTACCTGTATGCAGCGGGGGTTGCAGTATCGGATGGAAAGCATGGTTTGTCTGTAGCCTTTTTTCTTCCTCACAAATATCATAATTAATTCGCCAGAATGTTACATCTTCATCCCATAAATATTGCACGTAGTACGATGTTACAGCTATCTTTAGACAATTGCAGTACCACCACTGAGGTAGGCCTATATAATTATAACCAACCCAAACTAGGCCTATCTGAAATATGAATATGATTAATGAAATCACCAGGTAGCCTATTTTGGCAAAGATGCAGCCATAGCAGATTGCTAAACGGTACTTTATATGGATAATATTAACGTAGGTAAGCTACTCTGTTTTTGCCAGGCAAACCCGGAGAAAATTAAACAAGCGCTTTCTGGTCATTAATCTGGATATGTGCGACCGCCTTTGCGCGCCAATGCTGATGACCAGTCATTGGTCAACAATCAAGCCGCGCAACTTTCTGGTTCTGAAGCACCGATTAGATAGATATATTTTTTTGCCAGTGCGATACGGTCTATATTGTCTCTGGATGGGTGGAGAGTAATCCACGAGACTCTGTGCCACAAAATGAGTGACAAAACGTTACAAAACCTGGCCAGATAATTTCAAGTCATCAGTCTCAAATCGAAGTCGAGTCGCTAGTCTTGAGGCTCCAAATCCAAGTCAAATTTGTGACTCGAGTCAGACTCAAGTCCAAGTCATGTGACTCCAGTCCACACTGGTGTGACCTGGTGATTAAATCACCATTGGAACATACCAGAGTTGTGGACATTCCTTTTTTCTTTGATAGGTGCTTCTGTCCTGCACCTGATAAATTGGATGTACATATTTTTATATATTCTGACTGAAATTGAGGACATGCAAGTAAAAATTTTTTTGTATATACAGTGCTATGAAAAAGTATTTGCCCCCTTTCTAATTTTCTCTACTTTTGCATATTTGTGATACTGAATGTTATCAGATATTCAACCAAAACCTAATATTAGATAAAGGGAACATAAGTGAACAAATAACACAACAATTACATATTTATTTCATAAACAAAGTTATGCAACACCCAATTCCCCTGTGTGAAAAAGTAATTGCCCCTTTACACTCAATAACTGGTTGTGCCACCTTTAGCTGCAATGACTCCAACCAAATGCTTCCTGTAGTTGTTGATCAGTCTCTCACCTCGCTGTGGAGGAATTTTGGCCCACTCTTCCATGCAGAACTGCTTTAACTCAGTGACATGTGGGTTTTCAAGCATGAACTGCTCGTTTCAAGTCCTGCCACAACATCTCAATTGGGATTAGGTCTGGACTTTGACTAGGCCATTCCAAAACTTCCAATTTGTTGCTTTTTAGAAATTTTCATGTAGACTTGATTGTGTGTTTTGGCTCATTGTCTTGCTGCATGACCCAGCTGCGCTTCAGCTTCAGCTCACAGACGGATGGTCTGACATTCTCCTGTAGAATTATCTGATACAGAGCAGAATTCATGGTTCCTTCTATTAAGGCAAGTCGTCCAGGTCCTGAGGCAGCAAAGCATCCCCAAACCATCACACCACCACCACCATGCTTGACCTTTGGTATGATGTTCTTACTGTGGAATGCAGTGTTTGGTTTTCGCCAAGCATAATGGGACCCATCTCGTCCAAAAAGTTGACTCAAGTTTGCCAATAAGCACCTGGATGATCATCAAGACTCTTGGAAGAACGTTCTATGGACAGATGATTCAAAAGTATAACTTTTTGGACGACATGGTTCCAGTAATGCCTGGCGAAAACCAAACTCTGAATGGTAAATCAAAATATAGGGGAAACTCACAGTTTGTGAAATGGCACTAACAACTCACAGAGTGAATTCCAAAGTTATCTATGATGATTACGCAGTAGGCTTACACTCGTCTCCCAATATCTGCAATCAATTATACAAATACCACTACCGCTCTCTGCTGGTGGTATGTGGCGATCGCATAACATAGTAGGTCTGTATCATGATTAAATATAACTCCTAAATAAAAACAAATCCGTATTAACTAACTTTTTCTTACTCGGGCAGAGAAAATACATGTGTTATTTGTTTGACATGAACCAGCATGAACCCAAAACTCTTTGATGAATCTAACTGTAAGTCGCTCTGGATAAGAGCGTCTGCTAAATGACTACAATGTAAAATGTAAATGTTATAAGTCGCTTTGGATAAAAGCGTCTGCTAAATGGCATATTATATATTATTATTATTATTATTATATAAATCCCTAGAATAAAGATGGTTTGCTATTGGCTGAATTCCCTTGTAGCCACGCCCACGTGACCCTTTACCTTCTGAGAATTTCCCGCGAACAGTGCACGAGCACTGATGCCTGCAGACCAGACAGTGAGCTAGCAGATTCTAAGCGTTTGATTAACTAAATCACTTTATTATAACATTTTCCATAAATAGACTTTATGGCGAAGCAAAGCAGCATTTTCAAATTTTTCAATAAGTCTCCGCCACCGGTTCCGAAGGCGAAACCCTCGCCTGCAGAAGCGGACTTGCCATCCTCGGTTCGAAAAAAGAACAACTCTCCAAAAGAAGAAGCTAAGCATGCATCTCAAACTCCGACCACCAAAAAGACTGCTGCAAAAGCGATCAAAGGCGGATTCGGCAAACTCTTTGGGAATAAGACCCCAACAGTAAAGGAGAGGTAAGGCAGATCAAGTTAGTTAGCTAGCACAACAACAACAACGAGTTGCTTTGGTGTGGCTAGTGGTTTTAGCAGTAGCAAGCTACAGTAGCTAATTATAACTCGTGCAGTAATGACATTTGATTTGTGAAATAGCTAACTCCCTCGTCTACACAGGACAGACGTTATGTAATGCAATACGATTTAGACAGATTAGTGGCTGGATAAAACTAGGTAACCAGTCAGCTGATCAGTTAACTAGGAATGTTATTTGTCACTCAACCATTCCACACACTTCCATGTGCATCCATTGTCAGACAGTGTTGCTGTTGGAAAATAATCAATTCTGATCAAGCATGTCAATGTACACAGTAACATGCATGCGTCCTCATTTGGCGGGAGAACGTGTCACGTAATTCAACACTTGCGTGACTGGCATGATGTGGGGCTGACGTAGACCCAGGGGTACCAATTATATTGAGAGGGACAAGGCATCATATCTTCACATCGATGTAAAACTATGTTTACGCCTCGATCACATCGACAGTGTCATTGCATTTTGGTATACCAGAAGTACCAAAGATTTTTTATAACTAAACCAAGATAGACCACAGCCTGTCGTTTCCAATGGGAACAAATGAGTCATAGTGGGCAGAACAAGCAAGGAGGTGGGCAGAGCCAAGCACGAGCTAGCGAGATCCTATTGGCCCGTTCTAGCATGCATCTGCATATTTCGGTTAGGGGAAGGCCTACTGAAGTGCATGTGTGCGATAACTGAATTCGCCTTTGCACTCCTAAACAACAAGATTTTTTACAACTTTGGCAAAGGGTAAAGTCTACAAAACTTAGTCCACTCTGTTCATAACAGATTCTAGTTTTGGGAACAGAAAACTGTATTGAGATCAAATGTTTAATTGATGAGAATGTCAGCCAAAATCCATCTTCTCCCACAGCCAGCCACTGGGCTTCCTCTCACTACCATATTTGGTAGTGAGTGGAAACGGCAAGCGGATGCCTCACATTTTATATATCCGGTGAAACATCTGGCTTATTCTATCTGTGGAAGTACATTCATTTCCAATGGCGTTTGCCTAGCTGCAGTGTGGTGCATACGTTGGATTTATCGAACGTATGCGTCAAACTGTATGCGTAGATGGCTTGACAGAAATGGTAGCAGAAGGTGAATGTTGAACTTTTGTTGCACACATATCCAGATGATGCTGCGTAACATTTTGCGCAGTGACGCTGTCTGTCGGTGTGAACGAGGCGTTAGCGGAGTTGATGACAACCGGATGCATCCAGTTTTAAGGGATACAGGCAGAAACTGCTTATTCAATAGAAATCCCTGATCACACTTGTAGGCGATGTCATTGCGACGTTGGCTAGTTAAGCTCATGCACAGAAACACGTCATCGTGTCTAATGGTCGACCCGTGCCAAACTGCGCCTGTGCAGGCTGTCAAATCAAAGGCACTCCTTTTGATATAAAGTTGTTTTTGACTAAAATTAAAACTTGTCAGTTTGTCACTTAAACGAGGTTGGAGTAATAACATGTTCAACTACTTAAGACATTTGCTCTAATCTAGGTTGTGCCTTTTTAGATTTCGAGAGAATTAACAACTAAGGAAGTATTTTTCACTTCTCTCATTGACTTATCAAACCCCAAAACCCGGCCTGGTCTGTTTCGCAAGCATTCCCGGAAGTCTCGCGATCTTGCACCTCTGGGTTTAGAAACTCTGTGATACAGCTAATTCAACCCTATTCAACCTAGCTTCCTTTTCAGCTGAAACCCGGATGTGGAAACTCCACTCAGGTGTTTTCTTTTACGCCTGCTACCTTAGGTTAATGTAAAACAAATGAATGAGGGAACTCTATGGATGCGTCCCAATAATCTCCCTTTCCTCTTGAAGTGTGCACTTGTTCACTCCTCCCCACGAATGTACAAAGCATTGGATTGGCGTAGGCATGGGCTAGAGTAGGCAAGGGAGTTGCCATACCAGTAATTTCCTTTCAAATCCATGAAGGGAAGTTCAACAAGTGGACACTTGGGAAGACAGGAGAGATTATTACTAGGTAACCTGTTGTCTGATTTTTATTCTCCATCTTCTTTTCTTCCAGTCCAGCACCATGTCCATTCAGTGCCGGAGCCTTGGTGTGGGCCAAGCTAGAAGGGCACCCCTGGTGGCCGTGTATGGTAGTGCCCCAGCCCCTCGGCGGGCAGCAGATGAGGGGCAGGGGTAAAAGCCAACGCCTGCATGTCCACTTCTTCGACGAGCCGCCGACCAGGGGCTGGGTCAGCACCAAATATATCCGCGAGTATCAAGGTGAGAAAGCTATGATTTACCTGTGCAAAACTCCCTGCCTGTACTATCTACAGGGTGCTACGTCACTCACCTACCCCTGTGCAGGTGGACATCTATGGTCTATCTATTCTTGGTTAGCCTGGCCACAAATCTGTTTGTTCTGTCTTGCCAACTCCTATGTGTGTTGTCATGAATGACAATGACCATAGGAGCAAGACGGCTCAAGAAAATCTGATATCAGGCTAATTCTAGCTATGATATGGCTAATGAGGTTAAATACAAGATGTAAAACGCAAGATACCAGTTAAGAGTTAGGCTATATTACTACAGCAATAGCTTCGCCAATGCATTTTATTAATTAAATGTTTTTGGCACTGAGCAAAATGCATCCCATAACATTTTAACATGGAAATAGCTGTTCTATCATTCAGCCTACAGTAGCAGCCAAAGTGTGGTGTTCAATGTAGGTCTACATTCCATGATACTTTTGGAAAAAAAACATGCAGGGTTTGACATTAACCTGTTTATGCACTTGTCCTTCAGACAAGGAGGTGACTGAAAATGTTGTGGTGTTTGATGCAAGAAACCACTTTACAAAATATAATGCATTATTATTCCCATACCATTATTACAGAAAATCAGACATTATGCTACCCTCTGCCTATTGGCTACTTAGCTCAAAATACAACACTGCCCCTTTAAGACAAAAAACAACTCTTTACCCCACTCGCTTTTCAAAGATGTCTAGAAATGTAAATGTTTTGTGCTCTTGTAGGAAGCAATCACTCCCCTACTGCTGACTACAAATGATCTATAACTGGGCTAATAACTCACTAACTAGCAAAGGATATGAACAAAATGTGCACACGTGGCTACATGCAGCTCTTGCTTTGATCTCCAAACAAGCGCATCTACTCTCAACCGCTCATGCTGTTAACACAGTCCAGTTCAACGTAAATGGCACAGATCCATAAATGGCAATGGTCTATTTGCATATAGGCCTACTGCAGCTCTGATTGTTTATGCCGCACCGGTCTGTGTAGAGTACGGGCTGAGTAGTACGTGTCAATGCAATAGAATTCTACTCCGATGTGTTCTGCCTACAACAAAATCTCTTGTATAGTTCGTTTTGTTTCGGTATGTTGCATTGAAAGTGGCTAATATTGGGTTGAATCAATCACAATTGCCACAGTAAAGGGAAACGTTGATAGTGTTAACAGGGAAAACTCTAGAAGTGGTCACCAACCTTTTCTGAGTCAAAATGCGAGATATACCGCTCAGATTCTTTTAACATGACTTAAAAAAACGTATGCCTATGCAACATTAACCAATTAAAAACAGTTCTGTAGCAGTGAGGTTTGTGCAGTAAGCTATAGGCCCAATACATTATCAACACATATTGGCTTTGCTTGAATTGCCCTGTCAATGCATTGTTGTTTAGGCCATTTAAAAAAATCATATTTCAAAATTTGAGGTAGGCTAGATGATCACACCGGTAATAGATCCGTTGTTGTATTACTTGAGGCACAGCTGAGTGAGCATACGTTTAAATAATTTGATGGCGCCTGCATCTGATGGTCAGTCTCAGCGGAGGGAGAGAGCAGCAGCCTGAGGGTCCGCCTCTCAACATCCCTCCGCTCTCCCTTTCCTCCACTGACACTGACCAAAAAGGGACACCGTCTTCCAGCTGATGGTGAAACTCGAGTTGCACCGCATTATTTCTGCGACTGCATTGTTACTCCTATGAACAGAGAAAGTGAAATATTCCTCAAAATTAAAAAAGACCCAAGCAGCTAATAATAACAACGCAAGCCTATAGATACACTTTCCTACTCATTCATTACTGCTGCAGTGCTTGTTGTAGCGCTGAGTGGAAATAGGAAGAAAGCGCATTTTGTGGCTTATAAAAGTGTTGAATACAAAGTGTTGACAGTGCTGAGTAAGAACTTAAACATGAACTCACTAATAAAAACAGCAGCTCTTTGCTGTATTCATTGACATTTTCTCTTTAGTCATGGGTTTTAAACGTTTTGAAATCAGTATCAACATTGCTGTAGATTTCTTATGCCTGTTACGTTACTGCAGACACAGTAATCTGAGCCATCCGATTGGCCAGCGGTAGGCCTGTAGTGCACTTCATTTGCTCTCTGGGCCCGCCGGGAAGGCAGAGTTTGTACCTTTAGACACATGACCTGTTTCTAAATGGCAACAGTTTGCCTACTCAGCGCGCAGGGCAGCTGAATCGGGTGCACCCCCCCAAAAAAGGAACACAGCTTTATCGTTGGGTTTTTTACAGAAATATTTGGCGATCCACTAGGAATGCCTTCGCGATCGACCGGTTGGTTGGTGACCACTGCTCTAGAAAGTGAAGTTCAATCTCGTGCTTCTCTCTGTGGGCTGATATTTCTGCGCAGCAGTCCCGGGGCTACTGCGCGCGCAGCTTAGACAGAACATTGTTCTAGAGCCATATACAGTACCAGTCAAAAGTTTGGACACGCCTACTCATTCCAGGGTTTTTCTTTATATTTATTATTTTCTACAATGTGGAATAATAGTGAAGACATCAAAACTATGAAATAACATATGGAATCATTCAAGACTGTTGGAAAAGCATTCCAGGTGAAGCTGGTTGAGAGAATGCCAAGAGTGTGCAAAGCTGTCATCAAGGCAAAGGGTGGCTACTTTGAAGAATCTCAAATATAAAATATATTTTGATTTGTTTAACACTTTTTTGGTTACTACATGATTCCATATGTGTTTATTTAAAAGTTTTGATGTCTTCACTATTATACAATGTAAAAAATTAAGAAAAACCCTTGAATGAGTAGGTGTGTCCAAACTTTTGACTAGTACTGTACACTTTGGAGTGTACTAAAAATAATGTTGCTTCTCACTTGTACTCCATCCCAGGCTCGGACAGCAGTGATGCTAAGACGGGAGGGGTGTTCTTCAGTGGTAAGCCTGTGATCCGCAGGGCCATGGAGCTGGCTGATGCTGCTATGCCAGACAGCTCAGAGACCAGACTGAAGATGCCTGTCTGTATGGACCCATCTGATGCTGAGGAGGAGGAGGAGGAGGATATGGAGGTGAGAGAACCTTTTCGTTTGTACGGAAACCTTTCCGTATGTACTGCTGCTAACATTGCATTTCCCTTTGATACTTTATTAATCCACAATCTGTCTATCTAGACGCATTTTAATGCAAATGTAAGCCAGTATCAAAACCTTTTTCATTTTGTAGTGTACATTGGACTTACCACTCAATAATGATAAATACTGTATCATTATATACTCTTACTCTGTCTCGTTGTGTGCAAACTAGCAAGTGTAAAGTAAATGTGTTTAATATTTTCAAACATAATGTGCCTAGATTATTTATTTCCCCTTCTTCCAACAGCTTGATAAGTCAGCACTGACTGACGAAGACTTGACTGAAGAGGAAGATGATGAGACAGTGAAGTCAAAGCCTAGTCGCCGTTCATCCCGCACCACAGCAGAACAGGGCAGCAAGTCCAAGCGTCGCCGCATTGTGGTCGCCTCCGACAGTGAAGACTCGGGTGATGAATTCAAACCAGAACAGGCCGGAGGTAGCAGTGAGGAAGATGACGAGGAAGAGGAGGTAGTGAACAGTGCGTCGGAGGAGGAGGAAGATGCAGAAAGTGAACACGAGGCTGAACCCGGTAGCCCAGTTAAACCGGTGAAACGCAAACGACCCGCAGAGAAGCCATCCAGTGCCAAACCAAAACCCAAGATTCCCACTCTTCCCGAACCCGCCAAGAGAGCCCCCTTAACTAGCACCATCACAGCCGACACCAAGTCTCGACTCTCAGCCTTTTCGGCCCCGGAGAGCTTCGACAGCCAAGCGATTGGCTCAGTTGCCGGCGGACAAGGTGGGGCTACGGTATGGGACCATGAGAAGCTTGATTGGCTACAGGAAGGCCGGAGGAAAGACACCAAGAGACGGAGACAGTCTGAGGAAGACTACGACCCCACGACTCTCTACGTCCCAGAAGACTTCCTGAACAAAACGACCCCAGGCATGCGGCGTTGGTGGCAGCTCAAGTCGGAGACGTTCGACGCCGTGCTCTTCTACAAGGTACTATCAATCATTCAAATGTATTTATGAAGTCCTTTTTATATCAGCAGTTGTCACAGTGTTACAAAGTAACCCGGCCTAGATTTTGGATAGGATTTTCCCATGCTAGTCTGTGTTTGTTGTGCTGTATTTTGGTGGCGGTGCAATGCTTCTTTGTGTAACATACATTCACCGGCCAGTTTATTAGGTACACCCATCTAATACTGGGTCAGACACCCCCTTTGCCTCCAGAACAGCCTGACTTCTTGGAGATTCTTCATTGAACATGCTTTTTAGTCTAGGACTAGGCTAAATCTGTGGCTGTGAAACTGTCCTTTAGTGTCCTCATCTCTCTTGAAAGGTGCAAATAAAATGTATTATTACTCAGGTGGGTAAGTTCTATGAGCTGTACCACATGGACGCTGTGATCGGTGTCAACGAGCTGGGTCTGACCTTCATGAAGGGGGCCTGGGCCCACTCTGGCTTCCCCGAGATTGGCTTTGGACGCTTCTCAGACGGACTGGTGCAGAAGGGATACAAGGTGGGGGAGCCATTTTGAAACTATGTTTTTTAAATGAAAGCTTAGACTCACCCTTTTAAAAGAAAGCTTAACCTTGTCCAAAATAATATTGCTATATGTAACTATTGATTTTCCCCCCCTTCCCCCCCATCACTACTGTTTTGCTGGCAAACCAATTTCTCCTCAGTCATTAATAAAGTATTTCTTATGTTAGGTGGCGCGAGTGGAGCAGACGGAGACTCCAGATATGATGGAGGCTCGCTGTAAGACCATGCTGAAGCCCACCAAATTTGACCGGGTGGTGCAGCGCGAGGTGTGCCGAATCATCACACGGGGAACACAGACCTACAGCGTGTTGGACGGAGCCCCTTCTGAGACACAGAGCAAATACCTCCTGAGCATCAAGGAGAAGGTAGGATGTGTTTTGTGATGCGTTATACAGTGCATTTGTAAAGTATTCAGACCCCTACATTCTTTCCAAATTTTGTTACGTTACAGCCTTATTCTAAAATGGATTAAATTGTTTTTTTTCTCATTAATCTACACACAATACCCCATAATGACAAAGCAAAAACATTTTTTATAGCTAATTTATTTTAAAAAAAAAATAGAAAACATTACATTTACATAAGTATTCAGACCCTTTACTCAGTACTTTGTTGAAGCACCTTTTGGCAGCGATTACATCCTCAAGTCTTCTTGGGTATGATGCTACAAGCTTGGCACACCTGTATTTGGGGAGTTTCTCCCATTCTTCTCTGCAGATCCTCTCAAGCTCTGTCAGGTTGGATGGATGGGGAGCGTCGCTGCACAGCTATTTTCAGGTCTCTCCAGAGATGTTCGATTGGGTTCAAGTCCGGGCTCTGGCTGGGCCACTCAAGGACATTCAGAGACTTGTCCCAAAGCCACTCCTGCGTTGTCTTGGCTGTGTGCTTAGGGTTGTTGTCCTGTTGGAAGGTGAACCTTCGCCCCAGTCTGAGGTCCTGATCGCTCTGGAGGAGGTTTTCATCAAGGATTTCTCTGTTCATCTTTCCCTCAAACCTGACTAGTCTCCCAGTCCCTGCCGCTGAAAAACATCCCCACAGCATGATGCTGCTACCACCATGCTTCACCGTAGGGATGGTATTGGCCAGGTGATGAGCGAATGTTCCAAAATGCAATTTGCGGGAAAACACAGTTCTAAATATCCATTCAAAATGTAGAAAGAGGGACGATCTAAAGATGCAACTATCATGGGTTGCTAATATTACTAGGATAATGCCTTTGGCTGCTAGACAATGAAAGGAAGTTGATTATTTGAAAACCAATAGAACAGTCAGGAGAGCGCATATGAGGAAGTGTTTATAAAATATTTCCCTGAACATTTTTATGGTTGGATTTTGGTAGATGGAAGGGCTTTTCCAAAAACCTTATCAATTAAATGTTAACTAGCTATGCCTACTGGCAGAATGACATAATGATGATTACTTGCATCAATCCAGTGGCAATTTGTTTTGCAAACTCAATCTTGTGCGCTACAGAAACACGAGTAACCAAAAAACAGTGCTAGGGGCCTGCACACTTGAATTAAAGGGTAACTACACTCAAATCAAAATTTCTTAAGATTTTTCCCAGACCTCAAAAGTGGTCTCCTGATGTGGTTTAAGCATTGTTGTGGACTTAGAACATCCAAATGTGTATTTTTTTTATTTGTTGAAAGTGTGACTTCGACAGCAAGAGCAAAATGGTAAAAATCAGAAACCTGTGAATTTCTCAGTCCACAGCCTCATTTATCTGTTTCAATAGTAGGGCTATTATTAGCCTACTTCACAGTACAGCTTGGGTTGGCCTGACTGTGAAAGACCAATATGGGATTTATCAATTTAGGTAATTCAGTGTTTGCCACTGTTTCTCATTGAATTTCTCACAAATGGTGCCATTCCTTCACCGGGCGGGCCGTTTTGGGTAATTTTGGGGCAAAATTAGATACCCACTTCTCCAGGCACCACTACACCACTGAGTTCAACTACCACCAAGCTAATGCAAAATGTAGTTAAATTACTAGTTGAACTACATGTAGTTCACTACTCTGCAACTCTGAGTTTGGGTCAAACTCCTCTAACCTTGAGTTGAGAGTAGGCCTCAGTCCCAGAATGTTAGCAAAGCTGCACTACAAGCCTGAACTTTCTCAATGTCATTTTTTTAATGAACTAACCCTTTAAACTGTGCAGGAATATGTTTTGCATCACAAAGTATAACCTCCTCTCATCTCAAGGCAGAGGAGGAGAGTTCAGGGCGCTGCAGGACCTATGGGGTCAGCTTCGTAGATACATCTGTAGGGTACTTCCATGTGGGCCAATTCCAGGACGACCGACACTGCTCCCGGCTCCGCACCCTGGTGTCACATTATGCCCCCGCACAGGTCAGGCACTACTTTTACAGCACAGGAGGTTGGTGGCACCTTAAGTGGGGAGGACGGGCTCGTGGTAATGGTTGTCGCGGAATAAGTGGAATGGTATCCAATACGTCAAACACATGATTTCCATGGTTTCCAGGTGTTTGATGCCATTCACTCCGTTCCAGACATTATTATGAGCCGTCCTCCCCTCATCAGCCTCCACTGTTCTACAGCCTCAATTGTTCAACACTAACAATTTAAACTTGTTAACTTCTTCCACTACCATAAAAATATGTTTGGACAGCTGAAGGAAGTCACACAATTATTATTATTTAGGGAAATTACCCTATCTAGTTTTCATAACACTTACAGCATATCACAATCACCCAACAACAACAAGACACACAACATTGATCTGCCCCGTCCTGGTCAAAAATGTTTTTAGACATAAAGGAACATTTTATATACATTTTCCTTTCTTTTCTTTCTGTTCACACAGGTGCTCTTCGAGAAGGGGAACCCTTCTGCCGAAACCCGTAAAATCTTCAAGGCTTCTTTGTCCTCGGCTATGCAGGAGGGGCTGACTGCAGGTTCGCAGTTCTTTTTCAATACTTTATTTACAATGATACTGATGACAGATTTACAATGACCCCTTCCTCTCCCATACTTCCCATCTGTAATGCACATCTTTATGTTGATACGAAAAATTGTCAGGCGTCTGATATCGTTTGTTGAACTTTACTTTACCAACATTGTTGTTCACTTGCTTTCTCGCTCAACTAGTGCATGAGTAAAACATGGAATGTAATACTGTTTATCGGTTATCAATATAATGAAAACATGGACTGGAATACTGTTGATCGGTTATCAATATAATGAAAACATGGACTGGAATCGCAGTAATGTTCACTACATTACACCCTCCTCCCTCTAAACAGGCTCCCAGTTCTGGGACGCTCAGAAGACCCTGAAGACCCTAGCTGAGGAAAACTACTTTAAGGAGAGCGTGGGGAAGGATGAGGAGTCTGGGAGCAGTGTTCTCCCCTCTGTCCTCAAATCCATGACGTCTGAGAGCGACTCGTTGGGTCTGACCCCTAAGGAGGGTTATGAGTTGGCCCTGTCGGCCCTGGGAGGGTGTATTTTCTACCTGAAGAAATGTCTGGTAGACCAGGAGCTGCTGTCCATGACCAACTTCAAGGTAGGGATGTCAATGGTTAACCGATTAGCCAACCATAATAATGAAGCAAGTTAAACTTGATTGGTTTAATGCTTAATTTGTATTATGAACGTTTGCTAACCATAAATTAGTAAATGTTGAAGGAAAATAAGTAGCCCAATAGAGCATTCAGCCTTAATATCCTGCTAAGCTGGCTAGCTTGCTACTCCGTAAATGTAGTTAGTTTGAGCCTTTCAGGCGTAGCCCGGTCCCAGATCTGTTTATGCTTTTGCCTACTCTTGTCATTGTCAAACCAAACATTGCATGACAAATCCCTAAGGAGTTGGCAAGAGAGCAGAAACAGACTGGCATCCAGTCTATTCCAGGGGTGCACTAAGTCATGATTGTATCCCAAATTCTAGGAATACGTCCCGGTGGACGTGGAGATGGAGAAGGCAGCTGGGCCGACCCACTTCTTCTCACAGACCCGTCAGCGTATGGTCCTGGACGGGGTGACCCTAGCCAACCTGGAGATCCTGCAGAATGGTTCGGGGGGTACAGAGGGGACCCTGTTGGAACGCCTAGATACCTGTAGTAGTCCATTTGGTAAAAGGTTGCTGAAGCAATGGCTCTGTTCCCCGCTCTGTAACCCCACATCCATAGGTGAGGGGCACACGAAAATACACAAACGCAGACACACACCTATTGTTTTCATTGGTTGGTTTGCTATTGTCTTATTTTTTTGATTTGCTGTCTTTGGGTTATTGAAATGCTCTATATAAACCCCATGTATTATAATGATTATAGGGGAGCGCCTGGATGCCCTGGAGGACCTGATGGGAGTGCAGGCCCAGGCTACGGAGGTCTCAGACCTGCTCAAGAAGCTCCCTGATCTGGAGAGGCTCCTCAGTAAGATCCACAGCATCGGTACTCAGAAGGGTCAGGACCACCCGGACAGCAGGGCTGTTCTGTATGAAGAGGTCACCTACAGTAAGAGAAAGATTGCTGACTTCCTCTCGGCTCTGGAGGGCTTCAAGACCATGCAGGAGATTGTGTCCATACTAGGACCGGTCGCGGTCGACTTCCGGTCCAGGCTGCTGTGCCAGGTTTGTACACTACACACCACAACACTACCTGTCACTTGAATTGTTATTTTTACTATACTAATTCTTTACTTTTTAACTGTCCTGTATTGTCTTGTGATTGTTTTAAGTGTTGTGATTATTTGTATTTATGTTTTTTACTATGGTTGTAACTAAGCATGACAAACTGATTTCCTCTTGGCAATTTAATAAAGTACAATTTCATGTAATCTCATCAGGTGGTCAACCTGAAGGATGATGGTCAGGAAGGCCTCTTCCCTGACCTGTCGGCCGAGCTGAAACGCTGGGACACAGCCTTCGACCACCAGAAGGCACGCACCACCGGAGTCATCACCCCTAAGGCTGGCTTTGACCCAGAGTTTGACCAGGCTCTCAGTGGCATCAAGACCTGTGAGAAGGACCTACAGGACTACCTTGACAGGTACCTTCATCACTTGAGACACACATTTAGGAAACCTTCCCAGGCTCAGATTACTCCTAGTCTTGGACTAAAAAGCATGCCCAATGGAGAATGGAAATTGAAATAGCGAAAAAGCTATTTTCTTCATGGACAAATGTAAAATACAGTTAACAAACTTGAATGTTGCCAGGCAGAAGAAGAGGCTGGGCTGCAGGAACCTGACCTACTGGGGGACGGGACGGAACCGCTTCCAGATGGAAGTACCAGACAGCGTCTCAGAGAGGAACATACCTGAGGAGTACAAGGTCAGAGTGGCTGAAAACAATGCCATTTTCAGGGGTTCAATTTCCGCTGGGGGAAAAAAAAAGTCTGCCAAATTACAAATAATGAGTGTTCCACAATGTGGTTTTTAATCTGTAGTATGTCTTGTCAAATATTGTGGAGTGACAGTTTAGCAAACTTTTCTGAACTCTATTTAATCAGGTGAAGTCCACGAAGAAGGGCTGGAAGCGCTACTGGACGAGGGAGATAGAGCGTCTGTTCTCAGAGCTACAGAATCTCGAGGAGAAGAGAGACGCAGCTCTGAAGGACTGCATGAGAAGACTCTTCTACAACTTTGACAAGAACTACAGGGACTGGCAGACTGGGGTGGAGTGCATGGCTGTGCTAGGTAAGCTTTGCTTTATTAGGTTTATTTAACTGGCTCAATGAGAGGACCACAATGGAAACAAGTCTTCTGAGTATCCTGGGCAATTTTACACATTTGTGTGTATTTTAAATTGTCAAATCAAATGCACATTGATCAACATCTTCTCATGAGCATGATCATGCACATGTACAGTACCAGTCAAAAGTTTGGACACACCTACTCATTTAAGGGTTTTTCTTTATTTTTACTATTTTCTACATTGTAGAATAATAGTGAAGACATAAAAACTATGAAATTAACACACATGGAATCATGTAGTAACCAAAAAAGTGTGAAACAAATCAAAATATATTTTATACAGTGGGAAGAACAAGTATTTGATACACTGCCGATTTTGCAGGTTTTCCTACTTACAAAGCATGTAGAAGTCTGTAATTTTTATCATAGGTACACTTCAACTGTGAGAGACGGAATCTAAAACAAAAATCCAGAAAATCACATTGTATGATTTTTAAGTAATTCATTTGCATTTTATTGCATGACATAAGTATTTGATACATCAGAAAAGCAGAACTTAATATTTGGTACAGAAACCTTTGTTTGCAATTACAGAGATCATACGTTTCCTGTAGGTCTTGACCAGGTTTGCACACACTGCAGCAGGGATTTTGGCCCACTCCTCCATACAGACCTTCTCCAGATCCTTCAGGTTTTGGGGCTATCGCTGGGCAATATGGACTTTCAGCTCCCTCCAAAGATTTTCTATTGGGTTCAGGTCTGGAGACTGGCTAGGCCACTCAAGGACCTTGAGATGCTTCTTACGGAGCCACTCCTTAGTTGCCCTGGCTGTGTGTTTCGGGACGTTGTCATGCTAGAAGACCCAGCCACGACCCATCTTCAATGCTCTTACTGAGGGAAGGAGGTTGTTGGCCAAGATCTCGCGATACATGACCCCATCCATCCTCCCCTCAATACGGTGCAGTCGTCCTGTCCCCTTTGCAGAAAAGCATCCCCAAAGAATGATGTTTCCACCTCCATGCTTCACGGTTGGGATGGTGTTCTTGGGGTTGTACTCATCCTTCTTCTTCCACCAAACACGGCGAATGGAGTTTAGACCAAAAAGCTCTATTGTTTGTCTCATCAGACCACATGACCTTCTCCCATTCCTCCTCTGGATCATCCAGATAGTCATTGGCAAACTTCAGACGGGCCTGGACATGCGCTGGCTTGAGCAGGGGGACCTTGCGTGCGCTGCAGGATTTTAATCCATGACGGCGTAGTGTGTTACTAATGGTTTTCTTTGAGACTGTGGTCCCAGCTCTCTTCAGGTTATTGACCAGGTCCTGCCGTGTAGTTCTGGGCTGATCCCTCACCTTCCTCATGATCATTGATGCCCCACGAGGTGAGATCTTGCATGGAGCCCCAGACTGAGGGTGATTGACCGTCATCTTGAACTTCTTCCATTTTCTAATAATTGCGCCAACAGTTGTTGCCTTCTCACCAAGCTGCTTGCCTATTGTCCTGTAGCCCATCCCAGACTTGTGCAGGTCTACAATTTTATCCCTGATGTCCTTACACAGCTCTCTGTTCTTGGCCATTGTGGAGAGGTTGGAGTCTGTTTGATTGAGTGTGTGGACAGGTGTCTTTTATACAGGTAACCTGTTCAAACAGGTGCAGTTAACAGGTAATGAGTGGAGAACAGGAGGGCTTCTTAAAGAAAAAATAACAGGTCTGTGAGAGCTGGAATTCTTACTGGTTGGTATGTGATCAAATACTTATGTCATGCAATAAAATGCAAATGAATTACTTAAAAATCATACAATGTGATTTTCTGGATTTTTGTTTTAGATTCCGTCTCTCACAGTTGAAGTGTACCTATGATAAAAATTACAGACCTCTACATGCTTTGTAAGTAGGAAAACCTGCAAAATCGGCAGTGTATCAAATACTTGTTCTCCCCACTGTATTTGAGGTTCTTCAAATAGCCACCCTTTGCCTTGATGACAGCTTTGCACACTCTTGGCATTCTCTCAACCAGCTTCACCTGGAATGCTTTTCAAACCGTCTTGAAGGAGTTCCCACATATGCTGAGCACTTGTTGGCTGCTTTTCCTTCACTCTGCCGTCCGACCCGGTTGAGTCCGGGGGATTGTGGAGGCCAGTTCATCTGATGCAGCACTCCATCACTCTGCTTCTTGGTAAAATAGTCCTTACACAGCCTGGAGGTGTGTTGGGTCATTGTCCTGTTGAAAAACAAATGATAGTCCCACTAAGCCCAAACCAGATGGGATGGCGTATTGCTGCAGAATGCTGTGGTAGCCATGCTGGTTAAGTGTGCCTTGAATTCTAAATAAATCACAGACAGCGTCACCAGCAAAGCACCCCCACACCATAACACATCCTCCTCCATGCTTTACGGTGGGAACTACACATGCAGAGATCATCCGTTCACCCACATCGCGTCTCACAAAGACATGGCGGTTGGAACCAAAAATCTCAAATTTGGACTCCAGACCAAAGGACACATTTCCACCGGTTTAATGTCCATTGCAAGCGTTTCTTGGCCCAAGCAGGTCATAATATGGATTTGGTCTTTTACCAAATAGGGCTATCTTCTGTATACACCCCCTACCTTGTCACAACACAACGGATTGGCTCAAACGCATTAAGGAGGAAATTCCACAAATTAACTTTTAACAAGGCACACCTGTTAATTGACATGCATTCCAGTTGACTACCTCATGAAGTTGGTTGAGAGAATGCCAAGAGTGGCAAAGGGTGGCTATTTGAAGAATCTCAAATATGAAATATATTTTGATTTGTTTAACACTTTTGTTTGGTTGCTGCATGATTCCATATGTGTTATTTCATAGTTTTGATGTCTTCACTATGAGTCTACAATGTAAAAATTAAAGAAAAACCCTTGAATGAGTAGGTGTCCAAACTTTTGACTGGTAGTGTAGGTCCACTTGAATTCAGAAGAATGAACGACTCAATAAACCTACAGCATTATACTTATAGATAAATATTAAGTTGCAGCCAGGTGCTGCTGGTTGCCATAGATACAGTTTATGGACCTGGTGAGCCACAGACATTGGTTTGTTGACAATGCATAAACACGTTTGCAAACTGATATTTTACACCCATTATAGTGGTCCTCTGTAGCTCAGCTGGTAGAGCACGGCGCTTGTAACACCAGGGTAGTGGGTTCGATCCCCGGGACCACCCATACACAAAAATGTATGCACGCATGACTGTAAGTCGCTTTGGATAAAAGCGTCTGCTAAGTGGCATTATTATTATTATTATTATTATTATTATTATTATTATTATAATAATAAACAGTAGGCTGAATAATCATATTTGGCAGGGGTTTGAACCGGTTCAGGGAACTGAACCAAAAACTGGAAAATAACGTAATTTTCTGAGCAACGGAACAGGGAACGAATGTGATCTCTACTGTTCTGGAACAGAACCTTTATTTTAAAAGCATGGGAACCGGTTTATAATTGTATTTTATGTTCCGGACATTTTTTCCAGTCCTACGAAAAACTAAAACAAAACACCTAAGCAAAGCCCTCACTATCACTCAAACGTATTCCAGCGTCTGCCTGCTTGCCAGCTGGAAATCTTTACCAGTGTGTGTGCGTGTAGGCTACCTGCCCCTCCCCCTCCGAAGCATAGTCTACTGTAGCCCCTCCCCCTCCGAAGCATAGTCTACTGTAGCCCCTCCCGCTCCGAAGCATAGTCTACTGTAGCCCCTCCCGCTCCGAAGCATAGACTACTGTAGCCCCTCCCGCTCCGAAGCACAGACTACTGTAGCCCCTCCCGCTCCGAAGCACAGACTACTGTAGCCCCTCCCGCTCCGAAGCACAGACTACTGTAGCCCCTCCCGCTCCGAAGCATAGACTACTAGAGCCCCTTCACCTCCGATGCATAGACTACTAAAGCCCCTCCACCTCCGAAGCATAGACTACTGTAGCCTACTGACCTATACAAGCATGATTCAGAAGATATATTTTTAATAACAGAAGAATGGATTAACCTTTTCAATGCTAGTTAAGAATACTATAGTTATCACATTACACAATGGATTAATTAATTACAAAAAAAGGTAAGATGTGTTTTTAATTCTCATGCAGCTCTGCACACACAAGCTTGTTAGCTAGCTCTGGTTTAGCGTTAAGTTCAAAGGACATTCAAAGTTCCTCCATAGAAGCCGCTCCTCCGTAGGTATAATTCTGTGGGCCTAATTCAGATAATGCATGTCATAACAAGATGCCCAGCACTTCAAGCCAAACCACCTCCACTCTCTCCACACCTGCAAAATGTAATTCGCATCTCACGCCTTACACTTGTCAGTCCATTACGCATTTAAACAACTAGCTTACCTGCTCCATAGCAAGCTGCTCTATCCGCACTGATTGGTGAAGTAATTCAATTAGCTGTTCTAAACAAACAGAGTAAAAACTTATAGATGACTAGGAAAAGCTCAACCCAAGTTTATTCCCCACTGGGTCAAACGGCTACAAAGACATGTTTACACAAGCACATATATTTATACCCTCCTACTAGGCGTAGTCAAGTCCTTGCACATCTAGACAGCCAATACATCTCTGTTGCTAGTCAGGAACTTAAATTGGTTCCTTTCACTGGTGTAGTCATGGCCCCGCCTCCTGCTAGAACCTTCGTGGGTGTGGAAATGTGTGTGGGACTGTTCTTTCTCACTTCATCTGACCTCGGGCCAAATTCCTCGCACCTCCCTAATCCACGACTGTCCTACCTTATCAGTGACTGAAACCAGACTGTTGCCCTTTGCCTCCCTCCTTAGGAGCCATGAGATTTAACAATACCATATTTTGACAGAATGTAGACTTTCAGCACTCCCCCTTCCTCACTCAGTAACTTTCCATACACCTTCTTCTTTTCCACCCTCCATTGACCCCAACATATACATTCCTTATACATGTAAAGTAATCAATAAGTTCTGGTATGGTAACATGAATAAGTATATTTCAAGCTAGAATCCAACAAAGCTAAATGTAAAAAAAACTGATTTCACAGGTTAAATAAGGAATGGAACAATATAAACCGGGACTTTTTTGGCGGGGTTGTACCTGTTCAGAACTCTATTTTGCTGGTTGGAACAGTACAAAAAAATAGTGGTTCAGAACGAAACGATTGGAAAATAATTTAGGTTTCAACCACTGCATTGCATCACTTGGCATGCCTACTTTTTTTACCACGCCACATTAGCCTTACTCAGTTCTGCTCTAATGAAAACAGCAGGAGAAAAGAGATGATTGCATTGTTAATGATTGAGCTCTACTGCAGCAACATAATGTGTTTCACTAACAGCCTTGTCTGGGTCATTACTCTGCTAAGCATTGGATGAGTCCCAAATGGCACCCTATTCCTTTTATAGTGTATTACTTTTGACCAGGGCCTAGGGTCATAAGTAGTGCACTATATAGGGAATAGGGTGCCATTTGGGACACATCCATTGTGTGTAGTTATGTTTACTCCAGAGAGCTACGCTGCTAAAACAACCCTATTAGATATTAATGAACTTAATGAGGACAGAACACTGCCAGTGTTGGTCTAAAGGAGAGGATGGTATGGATGGGGATTGACTGGGCTTGGATGGTTGCCTTGAAGCCAATGTGGTCAATGAGAGGCCATCACAATATTAAGTGCATTTTACATTTGGTTTATATTTTATGTTCATCGTGTGTTTAAGTACTATTTTGTAAGATGTAACTAACTTCAGACATGCATCATTTATACACAAACAACACATCTACATACAACACATCTACAAAAACAAAATGTATGTTTATATACTAAGTTAGGATCTGCTTTTACTTTTTACCTGTGTAGATGTGTTGCTGAGTCTGACACGGTACAGCCAGGGGGGAGACGGAGGACCAATGACACGGCCTCAAGTACTACTTCCTGGTGACGTCAGCCAATCAGCAGCCTTCCTGGACCTGAGGGGCTCCCGCCACCCCTGTGTCACCAAAACCTTCTTTGGTGATGACTTCATCCCTAACGACATCGCTATTGGCTGCCCTGGCGGCGAGGAGGGGCAGGAGGATAAAGGACACGCCCCCTGCGTGCTGGTCACCGGGCCTAACATGGGAGGAAAGTCTACTCTAATGAGACAGGTATGGGTTTTTCTTTCAACTTTCACTTTCAACTTTATTTGTCCCAGAGAGAAACTGGTTGTGCAGCAAGATCACACCAAGACACACAATAAACATTCAACAGGAATGGCAGTTGATCTTGAACCTCACCTGGGTCCTGTGTGTACTTTTGTTTCTTCTGTAGTTGTTGGCTTGAAGTTGTTAGATTTCACCCTGTGGTGGTTCTGTGTTCCTGGCACAGTCTGGACTAGTAGTGATTATGTATTTACTTGGTCCTGATGTGTATTTCATCCTGTGCTTGGTCACTCCTCCCACAGTGTGGTCTGGTGGTGATCTTGGCCCAGTTGGGTTGCTATGTTCCTGCTGAGAGCCTGTCCTTCACACCTGTGGACAGAGTCTTCACCCGCTTGGGAGCATCTGACCGTATCATGGCTGGTAAGGACTCGTACCCCACTCCCCAGCAAGTCACTCCTCCCCATGCATTTAAAAGTATTTGATTGGTGTAAGCATGGGTTAGTGGGAGTTTCAACCATATTTCTTTGACCATTCCTTTCCTATTAAATCCATGAAGGGAAATGAACACTTAGGGCATTAGGGTTGAGAATTGGGATACAGAACAAGTGTTTTCCCTGAGTCCCTTAAGGTGTCCTCCTGAACTAAGTGGATCTAACCTTGGCCTGTGTGTGTTCCAGGGGAGAGCACCTTCTTTGTAGAGCTGAGTGAGACTGCTAGTATCCTCCATCATGGGACCAAGCACTCCCTGGTGCTGTTGGATGAACTGGGTAAACAACACATCTCTTATCTATTTGTCTCTCTTAGGTCTTTGTGTTGAGTTCAACATGGTGTGGGTACTACAAGAAGACGTCTTAGTAGCCTTTGGGGTCATCCTCCACTTCTGAGGCATAGTTCTTTGGCAAGTTTCAGACCCAGTATAAGCTTAGTTCTGGACTAAAAAGCATGCTCAATGGAGATTCTCTATTGAACATACATTTTAGTCAAAGTCTAGGCTTAATCTGGGTCTGGGAAATCAGCCCATGAAGTTTAAGTGAGAGAGAAACTGATCCATTGTGTTGCAGGAAGGGGCACCGCCACATATGACGGCACAGCGATAGCCAGTGCTGTGGTGAACGAGCTGGCAGAGAGGATCTGCTGTCGGACCCTCTTCTCTACACATTACCACTCCCTAGTAGAAGACTACACCAACAACCCTGCTGTACGGCTCGGACACATGGTGAGGAGACACACCACACACATAAGCAAGCTCAATACGGTACACAGACAACAATTCAATGACAAATATTGTGCCTTCGGGTTTTATACGGCTGGACACGTTATTTTCGGCTCTGTCAATCAATCACAAATTTGCAGACTTTTATAGTAATATCAAATAATTTCTGGTTAACAATTAAGTACTTTTCTAACCAGGTGTCCATCCAACCTTTTTATGCGAGTAACGTACATGTCGGATCAAAAATTCCATGACAGGCCTGATGGAAACACAACATTTTTCGGGAAACTTTCCAAATGTCCCGCCCCCCCAAAAATACGCTAGACAATGTGGGATCTTTTTGTGTCGGTAAAATGAATTATGCAAGAAATGTAGGCGGTAACACTTTTTAAAATACGCAAATATTGATAATAACCATCATATCGAAGTAAACTTGGAGTCACGCAATGACATGTTGTGGTCCTCCCATTACGACTCGTCGGGAAAGCATGCAGTTTATTAGGCTACAGATGAAATGATAAGTTATGATGAACTTTACAAGGTGATGATCTTGATGCTCCTTTCCAATAAATATTGAGGATCTTATTCGGATGACATGATAATCGATACTTGGCTGTCGTTTGACAAATAACAATTCTTACACTTTTGTCCATCATAATCTCATCATGTAGGCTATAGCGCTGTTGGCTAGAGCGCACGTGCCAATACCAGAGTGGGCACACTCGATATATAACGCAAAAAGAAATTGAGGAAAACCATCAGTAGAGTTGAAAATGCAATGAAAAAGCCCCCACGGCCAAACCCTAACCCGGACAACACTGGACCAATTGTGTGCCGTCCTATGGGACTCCCGGTCACGGCTGGTTGTGACACAGCCCGGTATCAAACTCCAGGCTGTAGTGATGCCGCAACACTGCGATGCACTGCCTTAAACTGCTGCGTCACTCTGGAGGCTGCGCATATTGTTCTTATTCCGATTTTTGAATATTTGCATGAAAATCGGTCACCAATTGGATAGATTTCCATTAAAATTGGCAAAATTTGCTTTTTAGCTAAACTTTTTCTCAAGCAAGAATTTTCCTAGGACTGTCTGGGAGTGGGGAGGGGAAAACTGAAAACTAGCTATTGGTCTATTAACCAATTTACCGCATGGTGATGTCACCATGGAAAGCCGAAACTCCCACCCATGCAATTAGAAGGCTGATTAGAAGGTCCTGTGTAGATTGTATTTTCAACCAGCAACTATCAGGAAATAACACTGCTCAAATGTTTTCACACTTTTACAGTGTTCGTGTACAATATGATATAAAACAGAATTTTGACTGCACTGGGCCTTTAATCAACCAACCAGTCTTCCCCTATCAGGCCTATATGGTGGAGAAGGAAGAAGAGGACCCTAGCCAGGAGACATCGCCTTCCTCTAGAAGTTCAAGCAATTAACCCATTAATTAACTAATTACTCTGTCCCTCGCAGGCCTGTATGGTGGAGAATGAGGGAGATGAGGACCCTAGTCAGGAGACCATCACCTTCCTCTACAAGTTCATTGCGGGAGCGTGTCCTAAAAGCTATGGTTTCAACGCTGCTCGCCTCGCCAACCTGCCTGAGGATGTTATCCAATCCGGCCACAGGAAGGCCAAGGAGTTTGAGAGGAGCACCATCTCCCTACGAGTCTTCAAGTATGTGGTAGAAGTACACTGAGTATACCAAACATTAGGAACACCTCCCCAATATTGAGTTACCCCCTCCCCTATTACCATACCCCAGTCCAAAGGCACTTAAATGTTTTGTCTTGCCCATTCACCCTCTGAATGGCACACATACACAATCCATGTCTCAAGGCTTAAAAATCCTTCTTTAACCTGTCTCCTCCCCTTCATGTACACTGAACAAAAATGTAAAGTGTTGGTCCATGTTTCATGAGCTGAAATAAAAGATCCCAGAAATGTTCCATACACACACAAAGCTTATTTCTCTCAAATTGTGTGCACAAATGTGTTTACATCCCTGTTAGTGAGCATTTCTCCTTTGCCAAGATAATCCATCCACCTGACAGGTGAGGCATATCAAGAAGCTGATTAAACCGCATGATCATTACACAGGTGCACCTTGTGCTGGTGACAAGGCCACTCTAAAATGTGCAGTTTTGGCATACAACACAATGCCACAGATGTCTCAAGTTTTGAGGGAGCGTGCAATTGGCATGCTGACTGCAGGAATGTCCACCAGAGCTGTTGCCAGAGAATTTAATGTAAATTTCTCTACCATAAGCCGCCTCCCAACGTCATTTTAGAGAATTTGGCAGTATGTCCAACCGGCCTCACAACCGCAGACCGTGAAACCACGCCAGCCCAGGACTCCACATCCGGCTTCTTCACCTGTGGGATCGTCTGAGACCCGCCACCCGGACAGCTGATGAAGCTGAGTTTGCACATCCGACGAATTTCTGCATAAACTCAGAAACCGTCTCAGGAAGCTCAACTGTGTGCTCGTCGTCCTCACCAGGGTCTTGACCTGACTGCAGTTCGTGGTAACCGACTTCAGTGGGAATATGCTCACCTTCGATGGCCACTGGCATGCTGGAGAAGTGTGCTCTTCACGGATGAATCCCGGTTTCAACTGTACCGGGCAGATGGCAGACGTTGTGGCGTTGTGTGGGCGAGCAGTTTGCTAATGTCAGTGTTGTGAACAGAGTGCCCCATGGTGGGGTTATGGTATGGGCAGGCATAAGCTATGGACAACGAACACAATTAAATTTTATCTGCCAATTTGAATGCACAGAGATACCGTGACGAGATCCTGAGGCCCATTGTCGTACCACTCATCCGCCGCCGTCACCTCATGGTTCAACATAATGCACAGCCCCATGTCGCAAGGATCTGCACACAATTCTTGGAAGCTGAAAAAGTCCCAGTTCTTCCATGGCCTACATAGTCACCAGACATGTCACCCATTGAGCATATTTGGGATGCTCTGGTTCGAGGTGTATGACAGCGTGTTCCAGTTCCCGCCAGCCATTCACACAGCCTTTAAAGAGTGGGACAACATTCAACTCTATGCAAAGGAGATGTGTCGCGCTGCCTGAGACGGTCACACAAGATACTGACTGGTTTTCTGATCCACGCCCCTACCTGTGACCAACGGCTGCATATCTGTATTCCCAGTAATGTGAAATCAATTGATTAGAGCCCAATTTATTTCAATTGACTGATTTCCTTATGAACTGTAACTCAGTAAAATCTTTGAAATTGTTGCATGTTATTTTTGTTCAGTGTACATAACAAGTGATATCAATAAGGGATCATAGGTTTCACCTGGTCAGTATGTGATGGTAAGAGCAGGTGTTCTTAATGTACTGCGTATATCTCAGTCTTCAAGTATGTGTTATACTGTAGTTACATGTAGTATGTTATTTTTCCATATTTTTGCTCCACAGGAAGCTGTGTTTGTATGCTGAAGACCCCAGAGCAGCCAGCACACAGTTTGCCTTGCTGGTCCGGATGATCGGCAACCTGTGAAGATGAGGCTGTTTCGTTGAGGCTGTTTCGTTGTTGGGGCCTGTTCAAGAGAACGTTACACAACATTCAGATTAAAAATGTATCGAGTAGAACAGAAATGATTGTCAGAATAGGAAAGTGTCAGCTCTATTCATTATATCTGCAACATTTAAAACCTTTCACATCCTTGAATCCATGTTTCGTTGTTTGTAGTTCTCTACTTGTTCTCATTTAAATTTTTTGTTCTCCACTTTCCACCATCACAAATCACTACTGTATGATCTAATAAAGTTTATTTAAAAAAAAAGACCACTTTTCTCTATCTAGGAAATTAAACCCTTTTAATTAACACTAGCATCTACAAAATGATTATTGAATACTCCACAATATATTAAGTCTAGATGTTATGGTACATGCATACAATTCAGGCTGTTTGAGAACCCACAGTCACCAAAACACATGGATGGGAAAGCAATGAAAACCATATACTGCTGTTATATACTTAAATGTCTCAGCTTTATGTTCAGTAGAGCAAGAGCTTTACTTTAGAAAAAGATCTCCGGCAATGCTTTACTCCAATGTGAAAATATTTGCGCTAGCCTGGTCCCAGATCTGTTTGTGTGGCATTGCGGGAAACGAGTTTGCAAGACGGCACAAACAGATCTGGGACCAGGCTAGAAAAGCGCCATGTTAACCAGGACAGCCTGGGCCTTGGAGCCTAACTAGACAGCTGTGAGTTCACAAGACTTGGGGCTGGATTCAATCCGTATCGCAGAAGATCTGCATTATAGTTCGATTGAAATTTAAAGGCAATGTTCCTACGTTCGGCGACGTCATTGACGGTAAATCAGAAATTACCTTTACATTATAACGCGGAAGGTACGGATTGAATCCAGCCCTTAATACTTGTCATTTATACTGATGTTTACCTCCAGTATGGTCCAAATAATAGGAAATCTGTAGGGAAGCATTCATGGTTCCTTAACTCCAGTGCGGACAAATATTGCAGACAAATAAAAAGGTGTTTGGGTGTTCAAAGAGTCAAAACAAAACTGGCGACAGTTCTAAAAGCTTTTAACAAGACCACTGTATTTTTTGCACCTTTTCTCTCAAGTCTCATTTAAAATAGTCAACATTGCTGGAGAAAATGTTGCTTTCTCTTTCACAGAAAGAATGTAGATACGTACACTTACAGCAAGTCTGGGGGGATGGGTAATAACCCAAAAAACAAAATTAATATATTTAATAAAATAAGACATTCAAGTACAGTAACATTTTTGCATGAAAATACAAAACTACATGAGAAAAGCATTTAAAATATTTTTCTTAAAAAAAAAACACTGAAGTGCTAGGACATATTCTTCTGTAACCATACATACACCAGCACAATGGTTTGTTGCTGGAGACAGAAACAGTGTGTGGCGAGACTGCCTCCTCCGCCTGAGGAACTAGTTCCTCGTATGGCTCTGAGCGTTGCAATGCCGTTATGCCACCATCAATGGCTCTGTACAATAACTGCAGTCTGACTTCACTTGCCCACTTCGCAAAGGCAGGCAAGGAGGGGCATTATAATGATGGCTAGTGTCCATCCATCTCTCCACAGCTCCACTATAAAAGCTGCAATGCTTCCCATGAATTCTCCAACCTGAGTCAATATCTGTCTGAAATGGCACCCTATTGCCTTCATAGGGCACTACTTTTGACTAGGTCTATGCCTATGAAGGGAATAAGAATACCCATTTGTCTGCACACATAGTCCCATCCATCACCGACCAAGTCCCATTGCCTCCTCGTCAATACGTTGCTGGGAAGGAAAATAAAAAGGGAGAAGCGGGACAGGCGGGCAGTGCATCCACAGCAGAAATGTCATATATATATATGTAAATGTCTCCTTTCAGCTCGTCTTTGTCCATCACGACTTCCATTTTTTCATATTTCTTTAAAGTCATTTTTACATTGTGTGATATTTATAAGTTTGTATTGTATTGTATTTTTCCTCCTCCCCATGGGTGGACTAGTTAGCTGAACAAACAGGAGTCTCTGTCCAAAATGGCACCCTATTCCCTACATAGTGCACTACTTTTGCCCAGGGCCAGCATAGGGTCCTAGTCAAAAGTAGTGCACTATATAGGGAATAGGCCTGGAAGGGTCCGGAGGGGGGAAGTCCAGGGGTCCAGCTCAGTTGTGTTGCAGCGTATTGGACTCTATAGGAGGGGCTGAGTCGTACAGTGTGTCTGTGTCGTGCGTGGGCTCTCCGGCTAGTGTGCAGGGGTTTGACAACGTCCCGGCTCCACAGTCACAGAAAAATCTACAGCCAAGACAAAATCAATTATTTTTGTTATCTACAGATCCAACTGGATATCTGCTAGTATTTCAGTTGCTACTTGATCAGCTGATAGTTTCGTCTTTCACGTCATGTCATTTCCAGCATAATTATCTTAAAGTCAATTACTGACGATATACTAACAGATTTGAATGCAACATTTCATTTGGCACAGGAGGAAGAGGTTCTGCAACATAAAACCAGATATCATTTGAATACCTGGAAAGTCATTTAGCATGAAGTATTGCTGTAATATACAGTGCGTGTGTGTATGGGTCTCATTAACAAGAGAATAGTAACATACCTATCATGCCTAATGAACTCGACGTCGTGCCCCTGGTGGCACTTCTTGATGCAGTTCACACAGATGGCGTTGCGGTCTGTTGTGTTACAGGTGTGACACCTGACCAGACGGAGGGACAGAACAAAGAAACAGGTGATGAGCCGAAAGAGTTGGAGGTTACATCGATTAAAGTGGACAGGTGGGGCCTGTTGCAGAAAGCTGGATCAATGAGTTAGCCAGCTAACTGTCCAACATTGCTTGAAATAACGTTTTCTTTGAGAAATATAGAACATAGCATTCTCAATTCAACCAGAAAGTCAAGAGTTATATGTGGCTGTTTATCAAAGTTGAAATGGCTAACTTAATAATCCTGCTTTCTGGAAAACCCCACTGGTTTAAGTTAGATATATATGGTAAGAAATTATTACCTGTAAAAATCGTGCATTGGATAGCTGGTGTAACTTGAAATCTTGTACAGGCACTGACCTCTGCTCACAGCTTTTTCAATGGCATCTTGATTGTTCATTATTTTGTTATCTGGGGGAGACAGGAGGACAGGTGTGGTTGGATCAGACCAGGTACAGATAAGAAAAAGTCATGAAGAGGCAATTTAAGATAATTCCATTTTGAAAAATAGAATAACTGATGTAAGTTGATCCTACAATGCTAGATTCCTGGAATAAAACATCCACAAATCACATCATGGTGACACATTGTCCTTCACTTTACCTTTCATTGTAACGTTGACACCAGATGCGAGAAACAATCCTCCAAAGCGGTTATTGAAGATCTGATTGCCTTCCAGGGTTGCCGTGGCATGATTCGTGATCTCAATACCTAGTGGACAGAGACGGGTCAGGATCAGCGTGGAGATTCAGGCCCATTCCCAAATGGACCCGAAGCCCTATGCACTTTTGGAGATCTAAGAGGATTTGATTGGTATAAGCAACATGGTGAAACTTCCACATAGCCTAGCAAGGTGGAGCTATTCCCATATTGCTTACACTGGTCAAATTATCTTTGATCTCCACAAGCGCATAGGGCTCCATTTTGGATTGGGCCTCACTCTGTCTACAATTAACATTTACAAATGACTGTCTACTATTAATCAAAAGGACTCAAAGCAAAATACTGCTCGGTCGTGTTCATTAGGGCACACAATGGGGAAACTTTTTTTGCAACAGAAAATTAGAATTTCTTATCGGACAAATCCAGGTAGTCCCTCCCTCTCGTTTCATTCTGCTTTCCACCATATGGTGCCTAATGAACACGACCTGGATTGAACCCTGCTTTCTAGCATAGCGTTGCCCACCTGCAGCAAAGCCGTCAAATATCCTGTTCTTCCTCAGGATGGGATGGCTGTTGGTGCTGATGAGGACTCCTGCCTGGGCGTTCCTGAAGATATCGTTCTCCTCCAGTAAACCTCGTCCTCCGTTGAATATACAGATCCCTCCGTCTCTCCCGTCGTGGATCTTATTCCTTCGGAGGGTGGGGTTGCTGTCAGTCTTTATCCACACCCCTGCCATAGCGTTGTCAAAGATCTCATTGTCCTCGATGAAGCCCAAACCTGAAACAGAGTCAAGATATCAGCCAAGAGGTCTCCCTTTCATTTATCATGGTTAGAGGGTTCATGAGGGAGCATTTGAGTGACACTGGAATTTGATGGGTCCACTTCACTCAGAACCTGTGAGTCCAGGGTGTCTTCACTGTTCCGCACATGAATTTAAAATGTAGAAAGGTACACAAGATCAAGCTGTGCGAGAGGAGAATGGATGGATAAAGAAAGAATTATAGATGATGGTTTCTCACCTGAGTTGTAAACCAGAATGCCTCCATTTTGACCTCCCCAGATCTTGTTCCGTCTGATTTTGGGATTGCTGCCAGTTCTGTTACAGTGGGAAACATTAACCAGCAATCAATCAATGCATATAATAAAGAATATTTAAAAAATCAATAGTGCTATAACAAGAAAGCATAGCACTGTGATATATTACAACATGCACTACATGATCTACACAGGTTGCCATTAGATCCCATTGTATGGTTGGCCATTCATTTTGAGTTCCAGCTCTCTCACTGACCTGATTTGAACTCCGGAGTACATGTGGTTGTAGATATCATTGTCCTCCAACACTCCATGGCCGTTGTCGTAGAAGTAGACGCCAACCTGTATGACAAGGGAAGTGTTTAGTTTGCAGGTTATTGTCAAATTTCATTAAATTCATATGTGAGAGATGAGTGACCCATAGAGCCATCTGAATAGACAGACTGGTCTCTCCATCTCCGTACCTGTTTCCCACTGTGTATCCTGTTCCTCCTGAGGACAGGTGTGCTTCCTGTGGTCACCCACACTCCTGCCAGCGTGTTGCTGTACACCTCATTCTCCTCGATCACCCCCTGTCCCTTTTCATGCTACAGGGGAGAGACACACAGATTAATTACATTACTAATAACCTTATCCAAAGAGAACTGTCCCGTCTTTCAGAGTCCACTGACTACAAGATGGCTCTGTATCAATTTACATTTTAGTCATTTAGCAGTCTCTTTTCCAGAGCAACTTACAGGAGCAATTAGGGTCAAGTACCTTGCTCAAGGGCACATCGGCAGATTTTTCACCTAGTCAGCTTGGGGATTCGAACCAGCGACCTTTCGGTTACTGACCCATCGCTCTTAACCGCTTGGCTACCTGCCTAGCGGTTAAGAGCATTTTATTTTCAGACACTAATGTGGTGGGCTCATAGTAGTTAAAGATGCTAAAGGTTTGCAAATAAACCACAGCTACAGTGAGGGAAAAAAGTATTTGATCCCCTGCTGATTTTGTACGTTTGCCCACTGACAAATACATGATCAGTCTATCATTTTAATGGTAGGTTTATTTGAACAGTGAGAGACAGAATAACAACAATAAAAATCCAGAAAAACGCATGTCAAAAATGTTATAAATTGATTTGCATTTTAATGAGGGAAATAAGTATTTCACCCCTCTGCAAAACATGACTTAGTACTTGGTGGCAAAACCCTTGTTGGCAATCACAGAGGTCAGACGTTTCTTGTAGTTGGCCACAAGGTTTGCACACATCTCAGGAGGGATTTTGTCCCACTCCTCTTTGCAGATCTTCTCCAAGTCATTAAGGTTTCGAGGCTGACGTTTGGCAACTCCTTCAGCTCCCTCCACAGATTTTCTATGGGATTAAGGTCTGGAGACTGGCTAGGCCACTCCAGGACCTTAATGTGCTTATTGAGCCACTCCTTTGTTGCCTTGGCTGTGTGTTTTGGGTCATTGTCATGCTGGAATACCCATCCACGACCCATTTTCAATGCCCTGGCTGAGGGAACGAGGTTCTCACCCAAGATTTGACGGTACATGGCGCCGTCCATCGTCCCTTTGATGCGGTGAAGTTGTCCTGTCCCCTTAGCAGAAAAACACCCCCAAAGCATAATGTTTCCATCTCCATGTTTGACGGTGGGGATGGTGTTCTTGGGGTCATAGGCAACATTCCTCCTCCTCCAAACACGGCGAGTTGAGTTGATGCCAAAGAGCTCGATTTTGGTCTCATCTGACCACAACACTTTCACCCAGTTCTCCTCTGAATCATTCATCTGTTCATTGGCAAACTTCAGACGGGCCTGTATATGTGCTTTCTTGAACAGGGGGACCTTGCGGGCGCTGCAGGATTTCAGTCCTTCTCGGCGTAGTGTGTTACCAATTGTTTTCTTGGTGACTATGGTCCCAGCTGCCTTGAGATCATTGACAAGATCCTCCTGTGTAATTCTGGGCTGATTCCTCACCGTTCTCATGATCATTGCAACTCCACAAGGTGAGATCTTGCATGGAGCCCCAGGCCGAGGGAGATTGACAGTTCTTTTGTGTTTCTTCCATTTGCGAATAATCGCACCAACTGTTGTCACCTTCTCACCAAGCTGCTTGGCGATGGTCTTGTAGCCCATTCCAGCCTTGTGTAGGTCTACAATCTTGTCCCTGACATCCTTGGAGAGCCCAATGGTCTTGGCCATTGTGGAGAGTTTGGAATCTGATTGATTGATTGCTTCTGTGGACAGGTGTCTCAGCTCAGCTCGTTACCTGTATAAAAGACACCTGGGAGCCAGAAATCTTTCTGATTGAGAGGGGGTCAACTACTTATTTCCCTCATTAAAATGCAAATCAATTTATAACATTTTTGACATGCGTTTTTCAGGATTTTTTGTTGTTATTCTGTCTCTCACTGTTCAAATAAACCTACCATTAAAATTATAGACTGATCATTTCTTTGTCAGTGGGCAAACGTACAAAATCAGCAGGGGATCAAATACTTTTTTCCCTCACTGTATAAGTCTCATAAGTATTTGCTACACATTTGACTACATGTTATTTTTAAAATACACATTTAAAATAGGTTCTAAAAAGCCCTACTTACCACATAGATGCCCCCGTGCTGTCCGTCGTGGATCTTGTTGTGTCGTACGATGGGGCAGCTGTTTGTCCTGATCTGGATCCCTGCCAAGGCGTTACCGTAGATATCGTTCCCCTCGATGAGGCCTCGCCCATCACCGAATATGTAAACTCCGCCTTGGTTACCGTTGAAGATGGCATTGCCCCTGTGATTGACCCAACGTGGAAAAATTTCACAATTGAGTATCCATTTACACATCAGAATCAATTCAACTTAATATGGGTTATATAACAGACAAAAAGAGAGTGAGCGAAGTAGAAAAAGGGAAAGAGAGGGGGGGGGGAGAGAAAGAGAGGAGAGAGAGAGGAGAAAGAGAGAAAGTGTTTGACTGTAAAACCCCACTGACCTTATTGTAGGATCACTATTGGAGGTAATCCACACTCCAGCAAAGTTGTTTGCATAGATCTTGTTCTCGATGAACTGTCCTCGGCCCTTCTCGTGCACGTAGATCCCTCCCGTCTGCCCATGGTGGATCTCACAGCGCACTACCGTGGGGTTGGCGTACGCCTTCACCTCGAAGCCAGCTATGCGGTTCCTGTGGATGTTGCAGCTCTCAAAGTAGCCCTGCAGGGGGTGACAGTCACAGTCAGTCAAAATAATCAGAATGCCAAGGCTCTTTCTCAATTAATCTTTTCTCGATTCGTCGCATCCTCTCTCCTCGCCTCCTTTCCCAAAAGTATTGGAGAAGGTGAGACGGGAGGAACCTTGGACCTTCTCTAATACGTTTCAGAAGAGCAAGGTGTTAAACTGTTCTTTCCTCTTGAGAAAATTGCCTCAATCCTTATGTAACCAAGCTACAGTGTGAGTAGGAATACATTTACATGTTTTTAAAAGGGAAAAGCTGTGGATTAAGGCTTATGTAACTAAAATCAGTGGTGGGTCTCTAAAACCTACACATGGATTAAACTGCAAGCCAACACTTCTCTTTAAGAACAAGAAACGGCTGCAGACTGAGTTTGATAAGTCAGCTGAGTGTCTACAGTAGAGACTAAGGTTCTTCCTCAATTATTCTTTCCTTGTTACCTAGCATCCGCTCCTTCTCAAAACACATTGGAGAAGAAGGTCAGAGGGGAGAGACCTTGGACTTTCTCCTGCAATACTGTTGAGAAGGAGGTGAGACGATGCAAGAGATGAATTGAGATAGTGCCTTAAGTCACTACTGTAGACACTGAGCTGGCCTCAGTGGTAGCCAGACCAGAGACCAGACCAATATGGAGTGTCATCTCAGTGGTAGCCAGACCAGACCAATATGGAGTGTCATCTCGGTGGTAGCCAGACCAGACCAATATGGAGTGTCATCTCGGTGGTAGCCAGACCAGACCAATGGAGACCAGACAAATATCATCTCACCATGCCGTGGTCGAAAGTGAAGACGCCCACATCTCTTCCGTGGTGGATGTGGTTCCGTCTGATGATGGGGTTGCCGTGGTTTTTCACCCAGATTCCAGCCAGTGCGTTGTTGGAGATCTCGTTGTCCTCGTAGATTCCCTGGAAACACAGAGAGTGTCAGTTTCACAGCAGAATCTTGGAACTGGGATGATTTGAGTAATCAAGTGCCATAAGGAAAGAGCAGTGCGTGTGTGTTCGTTACCTACCTGTGCATGGTCGGTGATGTAAAGCCCCACGTTCTCACAGTCGCTGATGTTGCAGTGTCTGATACTGGGACAAGCTCCCTGGCCACTCACACAGACCGCTGAGCCCACTGAAACAAACAGGAGTAGAGCCAGCCAGGTGAACATGCTAGAGCCCGGTGTATCAACTACGTTAGACTTCTCAGACAGATACCCACGCAATGTCTCAATTGAATATGTTGAAGACACTGTGTCAAAATAGCTAGCATAGCTCCAGAATTATTTTGAAGAGTAGAACCCTATGAGCTATGATAATTATTATGCATTTGGGAGTCAAAATGCGATCCAAAATGAAAAGGCCCTATAATAACAAAATCAATTAATTCCCAATAATTAGACTGCACTAGGTGGGTCTGAGTTGCTAAGACTATGCTTAATGAATGGCATGTAGGTCTGTGGAGAGATGGAGACATTGTGTTGTAAGGTACCTGTGCAAGTGCTGCGTATGATGCAGTGGTCAATGATGGGGCTGCAGTTGACTGTAATCTCCAGGCAGTGGTGGGCGTTGTGGTGCTGGGCAGACTTATCATCAGGATTAAACTAAAGGACGACAAACATAAGGGAGTTAGACAAGTTTATTACATGACTAAGATATTACTAAGATATGACTAACGTCAGGCTAAAAGTGGATAAAAGCTTCTGCTAAATGGCATATATTATATTACTAAGATATGAGTCATATTCATAACATATGACTAACAACCACAACTGATATAATGTCAAGACTTCCCTTTGTTTTAGACCAGCTGTATTTACAATGAGATGTGGACCACTCATGTACAGAGTTCAGGCATACACAAACAGTCAGCTAGGCTAGAGTCATATTACATAAGTAATGGATAATATCTGACCTTGATGGTCATGTAGCCAACGTATGCGTCCTCCGAGCCCTCCATGAAGACAAACGTGGAGTCTCTGGTGTTCTCAATGATCACTTTGTCTGCTACTTTACCAGGTGCTGTTGAAAAATTAACGTTGTTAGGGTTAAAAGGGCAAGGTTAAAAAGACAACATCGGGCTAAAAGTGTCCAGCAATGACAATCAATTAACCTAGTTAATAGGTCAAGTGGTATAACTCAGAGTGGGTACTTGGCCTATCCACAGGGGGTACTTGAGGAGACTCATGAGACCATAGGCCTACAGGCAGAGCAAAATTCATTTGGTGGTACCAAAAAAGGTTGGGAACCACTGGTACAGATAGACAACAAACAGACAGTATGGTACAGATAGACAACAAACAGACAGTAAGTCAACTCAATAATGAATACGTACCAGCTCCGATCATTGTGATGGGTGACTCTATGTAGATCCACTCGTCAGTGTAGACCCCAGAGTGGACGAATATGAGGCCGTCAAAGTGGGCCTCCTGTACACCCCCCAGGGCATCTTCTATGGTGTCATAGTACTGAGGAAGAGGCAGCACAGAGAAGTGTGTTAGAGCCAAGTCATGATGACCAATCACTCGATAACAACCTTAAAACAAACAGAACTCTGGGCCAGTTTCCCAGATTAAGAAGCCTAGTCCTAATCTAAAACGCTAGGCCTATATCAATTGAGATTATTCATTCAGTGTGCATTTTAGTCCAGCTCTAGGCTCAATCTGTGTCAAGGAAACTGGCCCTTAAACTCTCTGAAACAACCAAAAACTCTTACAAGCATGTTCTCTCTTCCTTTGTATCTGGCAGGATTACTGTAGAAGTGTTCCGCGAAGCCCGTCTTCACGTGTGCTCCTTTATACTGAAAACAAAAAAAGATAACGAATCTAGCCATTGTTATTATAGCACAGTAACACTTATGGTGGGATTCCTTCTAGAATCACAGCAATCTCAAGTGATATTAGACTCCACTGGGACTACCTGCGCCATAGAATTAGAATGACTGGGACACTGTTCTAACATGCATACTTCTGAACAAGCTATTGACAGTTTGTTTTAGCAGCAGAGGTAGTATCTACAGTGCATTCAGAAAGTATTCAGATCCCTTGACTTTTTCCACGTTTTGTTATAGCCTTATTCTAAAATTGATGAAATTGTTTTTTTGTCCTCATCAATCTACACACAATACTCCATAATGACAAAGCAAAAACAGGTTTACATAAGTATTCAGACCCTTTGCTTTGAGACTCTAAATTGAGCTCAGGTGCATCCTGTTTCCATTGATCATCCTTGAGATGTTTCTACAACTTGATTGGAGTACTTTTTATTTATTTATCTAAAAACCTGTTTTCACTTTGTCATTATGGGGTATTGTGTGTAGATTGATGAGGGAAAAAAGCAATTTCATCCATATTAGAATAAGGCTGTAACAAAATGTGGAAAAAGTCAAGGGGTCTGAATACTTTCTGAATGCACTGTTTATGGTTGAGTAACAGTAACAGTTAGGACAGTGAGGGTTTACAGAGGTCAGAGAGTAACAGCTAAGAGGATAGTGAGGGTTTACAGAGGTCAGAGAGTAACAGCTAAGAGGATAGTGAGGGTTTAACGAGGTCAGAGAGTAACAGCTAAGAGGATAGTGAGGGTTTACAGAGGTCAGAGAGTAACAGCTAAGAGGATAGTGAGGGTTTACAGAGGTCAGAGAGTAACAGCTAAGAGGATAGTGAGGGTTTACAGAGATCAGAGAGTAACAGCTAAGAGGATAGTGAGGGTTTACAGAGGTCAGAGAGTAACAGCTAAGAGGATAGTGAGGGTTTACAGAGGTCAGAGAGTAACAGCTAAGAGGATAGTGAGGGTTTACAGAGGTCAGAGAGTAACAGCTAAGAGGATAGTGTGGGTTTACAGAGGTCAGAGAGTAACAGCTAAGAGGATAGTGAGGGTTTACAGAGCTCAGAGAGTAACAGCTAAGAGGATAGTGAGGGTTTACAGAGGTCAGAGAGTAACAGCTAAGAGGATAGTGAGGGTTTACAGAGGTCAGAGAGTAACAGCTAAGAGGATAGTGTGGGTTTACAGAGGTCAGAGAGTAACAGCTAAGAGGATAGTGTGGGTTTACAGAGGTCAGAGAGTAACAGCTAAGAGGATAGTGAGGGTTTACAGAGGTCAGAGAGTAACAGCTAAGAGGACAGTGTGGGTTTACAGAGGTCAGAGAGTAACAGCTAAGAGGATAGTGTGGGTTTACAGAGGTCAGAGAGTAACAGCTAAGAGGACAGTGTGGGTTTACAGAGGTCAGAGAGTAACAGCTAAGAGGACAGTGAGGGTTTACATGGGTCAGAGAGTAACAGCTAAGAGGACAGTGAGGGTTTACAGAGGTCCGAGAGTAACAGCTAAGAGGATAGTGAGGGTTTACAGAGGTCAGAGAGTAACAGCTAAGAGGATAGTGAGGGTTTACAGAGGTCAGAGAGTAACAGCTAAGAGGATAGTGAGGGTTTACAGAGGTCAGAGAGTAACAGCTAAGAGGATAGTGAGGGTTTACAGAGGTCAGAGAGTAACAGCTAAGAGGATAGTGAGGGTTTACAGAGGTCAGTGAGTAACAGCTAAGAGGATAGTGTGGGTTTACAGAGGTCAGAGAGTAACAGCTAAGAGGATAGTGTGGGTTTACAGAGGTCAGAGAGTAACAGCTAAGAGGATAGTGTGGGTTTACAGAGGTCAGAGAGTAACAGCTAAGAGGATAGTGTGGGTTTACAGAGGTCAGAGAGTAACAGCTAAGAGGATAGTGAGGGTTTACAGAGGTCAGAGAGTAACAGCTAAGAGGATAGTGAGGGTTTACAGAGGTCAGAGAGTAACAGCTAAGAGGATAGTGTGGGTTTACAGAGGTCAGAGAGTAACAGCTAAGAGGATAGTGAGGGTTTACAGAGGTCAGTGAGTAACAGCTAAGAGGATAGTGTGGGTTTACAGAGGTCAGAGAGTAACAGCTAAGAGGATAGTGTGGGTTTACAGAGGTCAGAGAGTAACAGCTAAGAGGATAGTGAGGGTTTACAGAGGTCTGAGGTGAGAGGTAATAGTGACGACAGTGAGGGTAGAGGTCAGAGGTAACAGTTTGTAAACCATCACTCTCCTGAGATCAGAGGTGAGAGGTAACAGTGACGACAGTAGAGGGTATAGAGGTCATTGGTCATAGTCCTACCAGCTGCTGAAAGCTCTCTTTCCACGGGTTGGGCTGCTCGTACTCCTCTGGGTTAATCTGGAAGAACTTCCCCGCCTCAGGGTGCATCATGGGACGTGTGTACTCAAACACCTCCATGTACAGCCTCTTCCTGTGAAGCAAAGCAAGGCACACAGACACCATCAGACCGGGTTACTTTACGCGATAACACTCGGTGGGGGGGGCAGGAGGGAAAGACATGGTGCGTGTTCCAGACTGTGCAGAATCACTGATCTACGAATCACCTTGCATCCCAAATTGACAACTCACTATGTGATCAAGATTAGATTCTGTGCATCGGCTTGCTCAAACTGCTGATTAGCTGAGTGGTGCGGGAGGGAAAGGGATGCGGGAGGGACTTGAATGGGGATGTCCATCCAGACTGACGGAACAACAGAGACGGAACGACAGACAATGTCTCACCATCCAGACACAAACAGACAGAGACACAGGGACAGCCAAACAGCCACTCACCAGAGGATGGGATCATTGGCCAGTTCGCTGAAGCGTTTGCAGACACATGCTGCGCGACACAGGTCCTGCTCCAAAAGGTAGGAGAAGATCTTCAGAACCACCTCGTCTGGCAGCTTCTCCTGGAGGTAGTGCTCCGCCGGCGCTGCTAGTGGTGAACAATGAGATGGACACTTTATTCATGGAGGAGGTTCACACACATCCAAAATAATAACGAGCTGGACAGAAACAAGGTCCAACAGAGAAAGGGCCATTTCTAACCTCCAATTGTCATAACATGTTAACCAACAACTTCAACAACTCTCCAAAACCTTTGTTGTTGGTTTTATTGTACTGTGTATGTCATTGTTCTCTTTTAAAGATTTTTGGAAGATTAGCCAAAGGTGAGAAGTGACAGGACAGTGATTCTAATACATCTAAATTCAACAGAAATAGACTAAGATGAAAGTATTCTTTTACCTGGTAAATCTTGAGACTTTCCTGACACTCTGGCACGTTTTGCCCGATGGCCAAAGTCTTCTGTGGCTGAAGTGGAAGCACCCTGCGGATAAAAAAAAATAAAGATTGTTATAAGCCTTGATAGTTTTGACACGTTTTGATAGAACAGACAGTGGTCATCTGCTTAAAACGACCGTATCAATATTTCAGCATTGTATTTAATCAATCAAATTCAATTAATCACCACTGCTAGTGAAATACTAATCAATTATGCAAAGAGGAAAGAGTAATTATCAAATTTATCCCGTGGGTGAAAGGGCGCCACATTCTAAAGAAGACACCATTGTGGGTGGAATGCATTTCCCACTGATATTGCTCACTAGTCTAGGTCATAATATAGCTGTGTGCAATTGTTCTTTATAACCAGTGGCACTCAACAGCCTGAGTTAAGCGAGCTGATTCATTATGGCTGATCCATCTTCTGCAAGCAAACAGATTAAAATGTCATGAGTAGAGCATTATTCTACATGTCAGAGGCATCATGTTTGTTCTACATAACATATGTCTATCTGAACATTCCACAACGCTATGTCTTGTAGAACGTGCCTCAGAAGCCTATCATACCCATTTTACCCAGTACCCTGCTGTGGACTCAGAACTGACCCACCACCTCCCGTGACTCAGGCATGTAGCCATTGTTAAATAATATATGCAGTCTTCCCACATACATCACACATAGGCTGTGCCCCAAAGGGCACCCTATTCCCAATATGGTGCACTACTATTGACCAGGATGTAGTGCACTATATAGGGAGCCACTTGGGATGCATCCCATTCTAATGACTCACCTCCATGTTAGTCTTTGCTGGACAAGCTGCTGTTCTCTTGGGTAATAGAGACTTTCTTCTAAGTTGGTACGGACTATTCTGAGCTCCTGGACCGGATTCTTCTGCAACCATATCTGCAGGGACGTCCTCATCTGGAGAGGAAGTGATAGATTAATTTGTATTTTTAACATAATGACTAAAGGATTTCACCCCAAATATGGTATAAATGTGTAAACTGTATTAGAATCATAAGAAAATAAAACCACTAACAGGGAATATGGGTAGAAACTGTTGGAGGCCAACATACCATAGTAAGAGGGGACTTAGAAACTGCTGAAAGCTATACTGTGGAAAGTCACAGGCCGCCTAAAGGTGGGCGGAGCAAAGTTCCTTTGTGTGAAGGCATATAAAAAGCCTGTGTGTTTTGAGCACCAGAGCTCTCATGAATAAAAATGCTGATCCCTTGCAGACTGGAGAATTGTTTAATTCATTATTAACTAGTCTTACACTCTCTGGGGATTATTCAAAGTTTGAGCATTAGAGATAGAAATTCTCGTGACAATTGGTCCTTAGAGACAGTACATAGTTCATTTCGGAGCAGAGGTAATATAGTAAGGGAATTCTAGTAACGACTCACTTATTCAACAAGAATAGGGGGGGAGTAAAATAATTATTTTTGTGTTGCTAAATGAGTTGATAGTTTAAAAACTACTGAGAAAAGAGTTGTAATGTGGACTATCGAATTGAATATGGATATTAATTCAATATATGATGGTAAAATACAGCAAGTGTTTGGTGTTACTTCTAGCCTACTTAGAAAGGATATTTACCTAGATCTGTATTCTAATAATAGAAGATTGGTGATAAACTGAACCAAACATGACGTTACTACAACAATTTAGGATGGTTAATGTTGTTACGTTAGTTTTTAAACCCTATGATAGAGGTACAATTGAAGTCGGAAGTTTACATACACCATAGCCAAATACATTTAAACTCAGTTTTTCACAATTCCTGACATGTAATCCTATAAAAAATGCCCTGTTTTAGGTCAGTTAGGATAACCACTTTATTTTAAGAATGTGAAATGTCAGAATAATAGTAGAGAGAATGATTTATTTCAGCTTTTATTTCGTTCATCACATTCCCAGTGGGTCAGAAGTTTACATACACTCAATTAGTATTTGGTAGCATTGCCTTTAAATTGTTTAACTTGGGTCAAATGTTTCGGGTAGCCTTCCACAAGCTTCCCACAATAAGTTTGGGTGAATTTTGGCCCATTCCTCCTGACAGAGCTGGTGTAACTGAGTCAGGTTTGTAGGCCTCCTTGCTCGCACATGCTTTTTCAGTTCTGCCCACAAATGTTCTATAGGATTGAGGTCAGGGCTTTGTGATGGCCACTCCAATTCCTTGACTTTGTTGTCCTTAAGCCATTTTGCCACAACTTTGAAAATATGCTTGGGGTCATTGTCCATTTGCGACCAAGCTTTAACTTCCTGACTGATGTCTTGAGATGTTGCATCAATATATCCACATAATTCTCCTTCCTCATGATGCCATCTATTTTGTGAAGTGCACCAGTCCCTCCTGCAGCAAAGCACCCCCACAGCATGATGCTGCCACCCCCGTGCTTCACGGTTGGGATGGTGTTCTTCGGCTTACAAGCACCCCCTTTTTCCTCCAAAGATAATGATGGTCGTTATGGCCAAACAGTTCTATTTTTCTTTCATCAGCCCAGAGGACATTTCTCCAAAAAGTACGATCTTTGTCCCCATGTGCAGTTGCAAACCGTAGTCTGGCTTTTTTAATGCCGGTTTTGAAGCAGTGGCTTCTTCCTTGCTGAGCAGCCTTTCAGGTTATGTTGATATAGGACTCGTTTTACTGTGGACATAGATACTTTTGTACCCGTTTCCTCCAGCATCTTCACAAGGTCCTTTGCTGTTGTTCTGGGATTGATTTGCACTTTTCGCACCAAAGTACGTTCATCTCTAGGAGACAGAACGCGTCTCCTTCCTGAGCGGTATGACGGCTACGTGGTCCCATGGTGTTTATACTTGCGTACTATTGATTGTACAGATGAACGTGGTACCTTCAGGCGTTTGGAAACTTGTGGAGGTCTACAAATTTTTTTCTGAGGTCTTGGCTGATTTCTTTTGATTTTCCCATGATGTCAAGCAAAGAGGCACTGAGTTTGAAGGTAGGCCTTGAAATACATCCACAGGTAGACCTCCAATTGACTCAAATTATGTCAATTAGCCTATCAGAAGCTTCTAAAGCCATGACATCATTTTCTGGAATTTTCCAAGCTGTTTAAAGACGCAGTCAACATAGTGTATGTTAACTTCTGACCCACTGGAATTGTGATACAGTGAATTATAAGTGAAATAATCTGTCTGTAAACAATTCTTGGAGACATTAAATTGTGTCATGCACAAAGTAGATGTCCTAACCGACTTGCCAAAACTATAGTTTGTTAACATGAAATTTGTGGAGTGGTTGAAAAATGAGTTTTAATGACTCCAACCTAAGTGTATGTAAACTTCCAACTTCAACTGTAAATGCAGAACACTGTTTGAGAGTGAGTTTTATTTTTTCTACTAGTAAAAAAATGGAAGAATGTCCATGTTTTTTGTCTGCGGGTGTTAACCATTGGGGCTTGCTGAAACGTGAGAGCGCTGTAAGGGATATTATGGGTTACGTTAGGTGTACGAGGATCAATGGTTGCTGTGGAAAAGGAAGTCATAGGGGGTTGGATGTTTGGTATGAAAGGGCTAGCTCGTTAGTGTTGCGAACTAGTGACGTTTAGAGTGGTGACGTAACTAGGAGACAGAACGCGGATACGAACCAGGATCTCTAGTGACACAGTTAGCACTGCGATGCAGTGCCTTAGACCACTGCGCCACTCAGGGTAACGGTGTTTCGATGGTGAATGTTGTCAATGTGTGTAGAGGGTTCCTGGATCAAACCCAGGTAGGGACAGAAAGCAAAACTTTTACATTGATGCTATTGACCTAGATCACTAGGTGAACTATAACATTATACGGGAGAGATTTTTTTACCAACACATAGCGGATGGTAGAACATAGTAATTAAAGTTGCATCGATGTGAATAGATGTTTTGTTTATTTTGACTATAATTTAAAAATAATTTGTCATCCGTTAAAGTACCGTTATATGGAAAGTTAGCGATAGAGAATAATAGATATTGTAGAGGGTTTTTCTGTGTTACAAAGTAAGTAAGTTAAGTGTGGAATGAGACATGTTGAATTGATGTTGAATTGGATTGTTTAATAAGACTGGTATTAAAATAATTATTTATATTTAGGGGAATGAAAATATATTATTAGGTAGTAGTGCTTTGTGGAGACAATTTACTAATGACATGATTACGTAAGAGGGTGAAAAGAAGTAGTGATAAGTGGGCTATATTGACATACAGTGGGGAAAAAAAGTATTTAGTCAGCCACCAATTGTGCAAGTTCTCCCACTTAAAAAGATGAGAGAGGCCTGTAATTTTCATCATAGGTACACGTCAACTATGACAGACAAATTGAGGAAAAAAAATCCAGAAAATCACATTGTAGGATTTTTAATGAATTTATTTGCAAATGATGGTGGAAAATAAGTATTTGGTCACCCACAAACAAGCAATATTTCTGGCTCTCACAGACCTGTAACTTCTTCTTTAAGAGGCTCCTCTGTCCTCCACTCGTTACCTGTATTAATGGCACCTGTTTGAACTTGTTATCAGTATAAAAGACACCTGTCCACAACCTCAAACAGTCACACTCCAAACTCCACTATGGCCAAGACCAAAGAGCTGTCAAAGGACACCTGAAACAAAATTGTAGACCTGCACCAGGCTGGGAAGACTGAATCTGCAATAGGTAAGCAGCTTGGTTTGAAGAAATCAACTGTGGGAGCAATTATTAGGAAATGGAAGACATACAAGACCACTGATAATCTCCCTCCATCTGGGGCTCCACGCAAGATCTCACCCCGTGGAGTCAAAATGATCACAAGAACGGTGAGCAAAAATCCCAGAACCACACGGGGGGACCTAGTGAATGACCTGCAGAGAGCTGGGACCAAAGTAACAAAGCCTACCATCAGTAACACACTACGCCGCCAGGGACTCAAATCCTGCAGTGAAAGACGTGTCCCCCTGCTTAAGCCAGTACATGTCCAGGCCCGTCTGAAGTTTGCTAGAGTGCATTTGGATGATCCAGAAGAGGATTGGGAGAATGTCATATGGTCAGATGAAACCAAAATATAA